TAAAGGTATAGTTTGCCAGAAGAATTTGTTTTTAAGCGTCATTTTTTCATTATTAAAAATACATAATGCAGGACAAAGTTCGATCTATTGGATCATCTGAAATCGCTTAAATCATGTGAAGTACCTGACCTTTTTTTAAAACGGCAATTGGGTCATTCAGTGAATTATTGAAAAAGTAACTGTTTTTTTTCTTTCGATAGAATACTGATTGTAAGCAATCACTCCCTATAATGTACTCTCAAAGACTTGTAAAAGTAATAAACTTTATATAACAATGTGATTAGATATATCTACAAGGCTTTATTTCCCCAATTAAGAACAGTGTAACAGTAAAAGGAAAAGAAATACTAAGCCATGTTCTACTTTGGATGAAAGATGGAGTGTGGGGAAAGGGGGAGGGGGGGCAACGAAAGAAGGTTCACTGGTCAGAAGCCGTTATATTCAATTCTAGTGGGTGAACACAAGTGGGTACTTAATTAAAGGAACATTCTTTCTATTGTAAATGTTAAAGTGCCATATTGTCAAAAACCGTAAGTCAAGCGGGAGACAGAGAGCAGATTAAACTTTCCGAAGATTTGACTCGAGCTTCCCATTCATAAAGGAATTCCCTCCTGAAAAAAAGACTTCCACTTAAGAAAAGACGGCCTAAGAGCGTACCGATAAAACCCTGTTAAGAATACCATACCAAAGTATTATAGCTTTTTGACAGGATAATAACGACTTCTTTCAGACTAGAACCGTTACATTACGTCAAAGGAAAACAAATCGGATATTGCGATTCAGTCGAGTAGATTAAATTCAAGGCGACATTTTTGCTTGAGAATGAGAAGTTAACTTTATCAAAGATCGGGGAGTAACAGAATTGACAAAGTAGTTTTAAACTGAACAAACGTAAAGCTTAGTTATTTTCAAACGATATTGATGTACAACATGAAAGACCGTTCGTCATTGTCATTACTTTCCAAACTTCTTTCGTTACTTTGAATTTCAAATTCAAATCTTTAAGTTACAATACGTCGGTTAAACATCTTTTTATTAAACAAAAATATCAGTCTACCACTGTGCAATAACTTGTTAATAACGTCGCTAAAATGATAAAAAAATGTTAAAGATAAACGATATAGCCTGATCATTTAATTCGTTTAATTTTTTTGTCCCGTTTCCCTTGACTAAAGTTTCCTCAGTATGGGCAATAAAATACATCAAACATAAGTTATATCTTTAAGCTGAGGCTGAAGTCAGTAACATTTCCCGACATTTAAATACATAATATACATTTTGTGATCTCCATTTTAAATTTGAAGGGGCGGGTGCATGCTTATTAAATTGTATTCTCATTGATAACCATGACAACGTATTTACGATGGACAGTGATGGATGATCGACATCACTGATGATGACCTCGACCATGACCCTTGAACTTAAAGGTCAAACATAACCCTAATACCAAGCTCCCGTCGATTTTATATCCGGTTCTTCAACTTTTTTTGTACAGTCGTTGACGGATCGCCAAAGTAACAGTCATTTATTTTCATCTTTGCTCTTAAAATACAGAAAAGAAAAAGGGCTTTCATATTTTTGTTCGTTCTAGATTTACAATTTCTGAAGGTGTATTGGTTTTGAAGCAATGTCTCTTCTGAATTTCCAAACATTTGTTTTAAAATTTTGTATGGCTGGCAAAAGAACTTAAGATTCGGCATCAACGAACAACTTCATTGTTGCTGTTAGAACTCTAGATAGTTCTTTTATGTCATAAAATACTGACACTTTAGGTTAGTCTGCTCGTTGAAGAAATGCCTCTGACTGAAAAAAAACTTTAACAGCGATGAAATTCACTGAAATCATAAAAACTCATAAAACATAAACTTTGTAAAACAAGTTTATATATCGCTATTTAGTCCAACGTGATCTCTGAGTGACCATTGAGTCAGACGACGACATATAAAAACAAGACATGTTGTTTGTAATTGAAGTAAAAGTATTTGCTATATCCTAATAAATAGTCATTTTAGAGCAAAATAGTGCATTCTTCTCTGTCTCTGTATCATATTTATAAGGCCAACTTACGGAGTAAGTTAAATATGTTCCAATGTTATGACGTTTTGGGTAAACAACATCGACTTTTATGCTTGTGTAGTTTCGAAATTGCGGTTACAGCGGTGAGTTTCTCACAAAAACTATTCGCTATTAGAACGCATCTTAAAATGAGTCCTCGACAGAAAAACAAAATAAAACGGGATTTGATTGTTGAACTTCGGCCATCGAATGCTTGTGTTTCTGCCGAAGGAATTGTAGGTGGTCCCCGGGGATAAATCTAGGCGAGTTTGGGAGTAAAGATTCATATATCATCATCTCGGTGTTATGATTTATGAAGTGAGCGTATGCCATCAATCAACAGACAGAGGGGCGCGGTGGAGGGGTGAGGGGATGGTAGAAGGGGTAGGAGAGGGGTGCGGGATGGGTTGGTGGAGAGTGAGAGAGGTGGGGGTTGGTGTAGATGGGGTATGAAGAAGTGAAAAGAGAAGATGTGGTAAGGTTGGGAATGATGGGTGCGACGAGGACTGGAAAAGGTGGTTTTGCAATTTGACAATGTAGCAATTTCTTCATTTTATCATAAAGAGGGCCAGATCTATTACAGTCACAAGCAAATACGCTATTAGTTTGAGATAAAATAATATTTATAGTACAGGTGTATCTCTACTTCATCTGATTTATACACAGCCTTTAGTTTCTGGATCATCTGCATCGGTTTCCTTTCTTTTTCCTATATGCATACTTCTCTTCATTATCTTCTCTCATTTTATCAAGTCTTCAATTATTTTCTCTAAAATGAGACAAATGTATGGTCCAAACGTATTTTACAAGTACATATTGTGTAAGATATCTTTAAAAAAATCTCAACACTTCATCCATATATGCCCACGGATCCCTCACACAAACACACACCTACAAACTCCTGGCGGACCGAACACCACTCTCGATAAGGACCCTTATTGAAACCTCACTCGTCACCCAACCAACACCAACTGTTGGATCAAGCGAGATTTAAAGGCCATCCCTACCCCTTGAGATTAAAGGGATGACGAGTTGCCCCCCAGATGGAAGGTGGGGGGGGGAGGGGTCCTCTGACCCATTTTTTCTGTCTTGTCCATGTCCCTTCGAGAATTATTTCTGCCTCTTGTGCAAAATAGGTCAACGATACCGACGGAACCAGACGGCTTTCGGGTGACAAGAAAGAGAGGACTCCAAATAATACTTGCATTTCGATTGGTTGACATTTTCGTTTTTTGTAATATAGGAGTAAAGATATCAGAAATCATAAACCAAAACAGAAAGATAAATGGTTATTAACTTTACTAACAAGACAGAAGTTCGCTACTTTCTAACATTTTCAGTTTATCATTATTGCGTGTATTTTGGGGGCAATGGTCTCTCTCTCTCTCTCTCTCTCTCTCTCTTTCTATGTCTGTCTGTCTGTCTCTCTCTCTCTCTCTCTCCCTCTCCCTCTCCCCCTCTCTCTGTATATATATATATATATATAATATACATATCTCTCTCTCTAAGAAACACAGCGATGTAAATGTACAGACTATATACACCGAATTATTCTACATCATACGCTGATAACAGGGGCATGCCTTTTTTGAAAAGAATATCGCACTCTAAATAATTAATGAATTATTCCCGTAATCAATGCCGCTTTACCAATAAGTTTAAGTAGGATTAATTTAGCAAGGAATACTTTAATTTTTTGGTCATATTCATACTACTTGTGTATCATTTCCATGAATATGATTGTCACAGTTTGCGAGACATGGTGCGTCGCCATTTCACCAAAATGATTTCCGAGGGTATTGGCTTCTCCCTCATTTCTGTCTGCTTAAAATCGGAGACCCTTGATACGCGAAGTATTCGAAAAATGATCTATGGGGGTCCACTCAAGTTCCCCTTATCTTGAGCGGGGCGCTTTGTGATGCAAGATATAGGAAGGGGCGGGGACCAAGAGAATATATTATATTCGTTTCCCCGTCGCCTTGGGATGTCGCTTGATCTTCAATGAAGGCCAGGTCTTTTGTTCATTTTTGACATTAGCACATTCAACATGATTCATAGCTCATTAAAATTCATAAGGGGGTATGCTTGCACTCACTCGATCTTGAAAAATGAATTGATAGCAATAAGAAGAGTTTGGCAGCAGACATGATTTACGAGGCATGATAGTAACCTATTGGCCATGCCGATGGGCGTGGTTTTGTGGTATGGGAAATGCAATATCTTCATGATATTTTCTTACAGACGAAACCCTTTTCTACATGCTTGTTACTTCGTATCGTTGCCCGAATGGATATCGTCATAATCATTTTCTTTAAAACATCTCAATAATAATTCTCTGCCATCATCATTATGTGCATAATCGCTTTACCCTGTCATATAGTTAGCACTGCCAGTGTAACCGAACACTAAGACTCTCCTTGTTCCTTTTTTTTTGTCTCCCTCTTCCACTATTTCTGTCTATTAGTCTTTGTATTTATCTGTTTGTATGTATGTATCATACAAATAATGATATTTTGCCACCTCCCACCTCCTCCCCCTCTCTTTCTCTATATATCTCATTTTCTTTCGAGAGAAAGGCAGACGAATACAGTCATCACCTAAGAAACTCACGTAACATGAATACTCTACCGTAAATGTGCGGCAACATACATGTAACTACGAAACAGCATACTTAGGATTCTAGCCCTCAACACTCAGTCATGTAAAAAAAATCATATCATAATCTTCTTCATACATTCTTATTACAACATGACCATGATGACATAAGTTATCACACCCCAACGCAATGTCAAACGTTACATACGATGACAAATGTTACATATGATAACAACTCACCTGCTGGAAACCCATTCTCCGTGTAAATCAGGCGGCGTCACGGCTTCGATCCCCTGACCGCCTTGTAACCTACGTAACCGTCTTCTGCATTCGGACCCTGGTCCCCAATTAGGACCAGCCAAATCAGGACTCATCAGACCGCTGTTCCTCGCAGCCTGGACCACCACGATCTCTGCCACAGCTGGTAAAAGAAAAATGAAAGCACTGCTATAAAATCGACTCATCTTCTCTTCGACTGCAGATTAATTTTATAGGTATATGACATTGTATGAAGACAGTTCAAGAATAATACATGCGGCGTGTATAGGGAAGTTGTTCTTATGCAAGTTCTTTTTATTACATGATGCAAATAGAAATGATTTTCACCAGACACTAAAATGTGGTCTTTGTGTACAGACTGTCAATGTGTAAATATTTATTTGAATCTTTCATTCTTTATTTCTTTCTTTCCTGATGCTACAATATACCTTGAGTTAAAATTACAATATATACTTGCTTTTGAGTATTTGACTAATAAGCAATCCACGGAAACGCCCTTTAAGTGATTGTCAATACCATTATCATGATCATAATTATCACCATAATCATTACTATCCCAACCACTGGCGAGGCCGGACTTGTTTGACAGAGGGAGGGGTGGCACAGACTGGGGGAGGCATCCCAGAGTCCCTCAATCATATAGGGTAGGGTTAGGGTAGTACCGTTGATGAATATTTAGCGGACGGAAAAGGGGGAATGGCCCCCTTTGAGCCCCGTGACCACGCCTATGATCACAATAACCATAATCCACCTCATCATCATTTTATAACTTATTTAAATAATATTTGCTTCATAAATTATTTGCTTAACCACTCCACACCACATCACGATCATTTTTCTCGTAGACATATCTGCACGTGCATCGCCACCTCAAGACAGAACTAAACCGACGCGTTAGTTTCATCACTCTTCTCGAATGTACGGGTGCAGAATTCGAACAGCTAATTGGAAAAGATTACGATCAAAATCTATTCCTCAAAAAGCCATCTTTATCCAAACGGAATTCCCTAACCATGAAATCCGCATACCGTGAGAGAGAACAAAAAGCAAAATCCTCCTCAAATCCCCAAAATATAACCCCAAAAATATTTGACCTAAAATCACTTCGCTTGAGTGATAAGTCAGACTGTTAGCTCTCCATCTTAATAAATTGTTAACACATCATTTTTTTGTTCTTCGCGAAAATCCTTCCGCGTCATTAGGGAATACCACAATCTATATTCTATCTCCACAATTTTTTCTCTATTTCCTTTTTTTTTCATTGTACGTTCCATCATTGTAATGTCTCCATCTAATCGTTCAATCTCAATTCAATGGAAGTGTTTGGTAAAGACTTTCCCTCCTGCAGTGGGGTTTGATCACACCTGTGGGACACAGCTTTCTTACGCCTGTTCGAGGGGCGGCGCCGGAGGGGCGTGTGGGGCATGACGACCCCCCCCCCCTTACACACAAACTCAAAGTTCATGTAACCAAATTCATAACCGTCAGTAAATGTTGAAGTTTGTAGGTTTGAGTTGGGTGGGGGATCGTTGCATCATGTCTTTTTATTTTTCAATTTCGTTTTCTTTATTTTTTCTTGTCGTTTGTTTGTTTGTTTGTGTTTTAGTTATTTCCGTCACTCTTGTTGGAAAACATTATTTTCTAGTTTCATGGTTTTAGCATATATATATATGGTATCCTTTTTTTTAGGTTGGCAAACTTATATGTCAAAAGATGATACTATCACCCTTTTAAACATATTTCATCTGCAAATTCAATCGGCTTGTAAGTTGGCTAAGGCTGCTTCTCTGTTGGCAAAAGAATGTCGGCAAAAAATGAAAGATGCCCCTCCTTAAATAAAGCTATAGCGACACCACCAATGTTTGGCCTACACCCCCATCCGCAATGGAACAAGCGGCGCCCCTCCTTCTGTTCTCCCCATCACCACTTGTCAACACATCGTAAGAAACTCATTTGTTTCAGGGGGCATATTTTCGTACCCATGAGCTTGGGGTTGGCTAACGAAAAAAATAAGTGTTGTAATTCAGGAACAGTCTGTGCCCAAGTGTCAACGAAAGTCGGTTGGTTACACGAAGATACAGAGCCTCATTCGCTTCGCATTTAATATTAATGACGAATGTGATTGCTCATGTGTTCATAGGTTGTAGAGTTATGCCCATGTACATACCGCAACATCACCGTTTTATTCAGTTGTACGTGTATATAGACATACATACATATCAATGTTTTTTTTTTTACTTCAGTTGTGCTGTTAACTGGAATTTTACCTTTTATTTAGGTCAAGAAAGAGAACTTTTTTTGTCTGCAGTGGTTTAAAAGAAGTCAAAACTAGATTTCATTATGTTGGCAAAGGTTGATGAAGAAGTAAATGGACTTATCTTAATATTTAAACAATTATTAAAAGAAAACATGAAACTGTCAAAGTTCGTCTACAATCACAGGAATTAAATTATATCAAATGAATATAGTAATAGGAATGGAATTAAATCTTAGTATGTTTGTTTCAACAACGCTTTTGGGCAAACCGTATTTCCATGCGCACAACGTTTGCTTTAGGTACTCATCTTTAATATAAAATCAATTTATATCGTGTTATTTCGTGTCTAGTCTTAAGCTGCCCTTATATGAACGTAAGCATGTTATAAACATCCACTTAGTCTTGTTACCATCTAGTCACATTAAATCACGGCCTTCACATCCACGAGGACGCTCTTCTTAACTTGCAAAAATATTGATTTTTCCACCGCGTTCTCGTTCAAGTTTTCCATCAGCTCGTTGCGTCGACCTACTTACACTCCAAAACACCGTATAAAAAGCTCTCTCTCTCTCGTCGCCATTCAGGAGCTTCGATTGCGCGAAAGTGTTTCACCCACGTGCCAGCAGGCACATAGCGCTATTAATGTCAACATTATTACAGAGAGAGAGAGAAAACAAACACAGCAAAACACATCATGTGTCGTCACAGCGCCAAACCCAGACACGAAACACAACAATCCTTAAATTGATATTTCGCGTGAGAACATTTTTTTTCCTCTTCTATTTTAGAGCGCAGTTATGTTCGTTTTTTTTTCTCGCGGGTTAATCCTGAAGGGGTGACACTGGATGTCAGAGGCGTCACGTGTCAAGATGAGAATTAACGTGGCTGGGGAGGCTGGAATGGGAGGATAGAGGTTTGGGAATACTTAGGATGAAAGAGATGAAGACAGAGGAAGAGAGATATGTGAAGACAATCGTGAAGATACTCAACATTGGACGGGAGAGAAAGAGGAAAAAGAAGTTGTTTGGATAGAATGAATGTAAATGACTAAATAATAAAATAAACATAGATGTGAAATCCAGGAAATAAACAAAGATGCTAGATGAAGGAGAGGGATACAACAGGAGTGTAAATATTCATGATTGCTTTACCAGAATGATGATAAGGCAAACACAGGAAGAAAACAAATATTTAAATGCCTCGAAGGGAGGCAAACAGAGAAAAAAGGGTAATAGATGATTAGAAAACGTACGAACAACATACATGTAAATGTAACATTTTTAATGAAGAGCAATAAGAGAGAGAGAGAGAGAGAGAGAGAGAGAGAGAGGGGGGGGGGGAAGAGAAGGGTGATGTGGGAAGGGGGCAAGAAAGAAATGGATATTCTGTATCAATGAGGAAACGAGATTATTAGAATGTCACATTACGATATCTTTCCATACCAAAGAGCTGCTACCGTTTGACATAAGACTCCATTGAACATTCAAAACGGGTGAAACGAGAAATCTCGAGATCACACATTTTAGTGTCCCTACAGGAATGGAATCTTTAAAATGAGAACGGAAGCATTACAAGAAAGATAGAGCAAGATATGGATAGTAGATGGAGACGGAGATAGATAGACAGAAGGAGGCAGACGCGGTGACAGAAAGGAGACAGAAAGAGGGACACAGACGAAAGAAGTGAGATAGGAGCCTTATGAATGTAGCTAATAATGTTACTATTTGATTTGTCATGAATTGAGCTTGTCAGTGAAGTCTCGATCGCGGCACGAAACTCGGTGTTGCTTCCAGCTCCCCCGGAGGGATCTCAGCCGAGTTTACCTTGCTAAAACCCCATCCCAACTCGAGGGTTAAGTTGATTAACCCCCTAAAAAGTAGAGGAACTCTTTGAGGACACGGAGCGGCGTCCTCCGCTACCGGCATCGTCTCCCAGTAGACTGGTATTATCCGCATCTTTTGGAGGGAGATGGCATCTTCGTTCTGAAATATGGATTTGTATTATTAAGATGCTTCAGACGTCTTCAGAGCTTCGGGGTGTGTGTGATTCGTGTGGATAATCCAGACACGGGGAGCGAAGGTGCCATGTTGGCAGCTGAGCCGCTGTACATACAAGAGTCGTGAATGAAGAAGGGAAGGCTCCCAGGTGGGCGTGGTGGTGAAGGGGAGGATGAGGGGTGAAGGTAGGGGCGTGTAGGGGTAGGTCTAAGAGAAAGGAGTAAGATGGACATGGTGAAACCGCATATGTTGCCGAGGACGAGGACGACGAGGAGGATGGCGAAAAAGAAAATGTATTTTAGGATGGTTAAGAGAGAATTGAACGAGTATAATGCTATGGAGTATAAGGGAATAAGATGCCAATAAGATGGCATTGTCTGATGAGAAACGGGGTTAGGGTGGGGTCACGAATTAACTATCTCTCTGTGGAATGGGGATAATAAAGGTGAGAGAACTTCAATTCATAGTAAAGGAAATGCATCACAAGAGATGCAGGATGGATAAGAGGGATGGAGGGAGGGGACTTTGGATGTGAAGGGGCTTAATAAGCGGACAGTGTATGACGAGGGAAGTGATGGGTGGCGAGAGGACAAAAGAAAGACACGGAAGATGAACGAATGAAGACAGGTGAAAACATAGAGATTGGAAAAAGGCGGAGTGTAACATTAGGAGGATGTGGAAGGGAGATGGGTGATAGCAAAGGAATAAGGTTAGGGATCGCCGCACAAAGAGGATGACGTGTTACCTGCTAAGAAGCAGATGGGTGTTAACTGAGTCTGTGTTAAAGATATGAATTGATGCCCTTCTGGCTCTCAGCAGAAGTTTCTAACTTAGTAAAAGATATGTTGGGGTGAAGAAGTAAAACATGTTTAAAATGGGGCGAGGATA